ATAGCGCGGTTACTCAGTGAGTGTCACTCATAGCGCGGTTACTCAGTGAGTGTCCCCCATAGCGCGGTTACTCAGTGAGTGTCTCCCATAGCGCGGTTACTCAGTGAGTGTCACTCATAGCGCGGTTACTCAGTGAGTGTCCCTCATAGTGCGGTTACTCAGTGAGTGTCCCCCATAGTGCGGTTACTCAGTGAGTGTCTCCCGTAGCGCGGTTACTCAGTGAGTGTCCCTCGTAGCACGGTTACTCAGTGAGTGTCCCCCATAGCGCGGTTACTCAGTGAGTGTCCCCCATAGCGCGGTTACTCAGTGAGTGTCCCCCATAGCGCGGTTACTCAGTGAGTGTCCCCCATAGCGCGGTTACTCAGTGAGTGTCCCCCATAGTGCGGTTACTCAGTGAGTGTCCCCCATAGCGCGGTTACTCAGTGAGTGTCACTCATAGCGCGGTTACTCAGTGAGTGTCCCCCATAGCGCGGTTACTCAGTGAGTGTCCCTCATAGTGCGGTTACTCAGTGAGTGTCTCCCATAGCGCGGTTACTCAGTGAGTGTCCCCCATAGTGCGGTTACTCAGTGAGTGTCCCTCATAGCGCGGTTACTCAGTGAGTGTCCCCCATAGCGCGGTTACTCAGTGAGTGTCCCCCATAGCGCGGTTACTCAGTGAGTGTCCCCCATAGCGCGGTTACTCAGTGAGTGTCCCCCATAGCGCGGTTACTCAGTGAGTGTCCCCCATAGCGCGGTTACTCAGTGAGTGTCCCCCATAGCGCGGTTACTCAGTGAGTGTCCCCCATAGTGCGGTTACTCAGTGAGTGTCTCCCATAGAGCGGTTACTCAGTGAGTGTCTCCCATAGAGCGGTTACTCAGTGAGTGTCCCTCATAGTGCGGTTACTCAGTGAGTGTCCCTCATAGTGCGGTTACTCAGTGAGTGTCCCTCATAGTGCGGTTACTCAGTGAGTGTCCCTCATAGTGCGGTTACTCAGTGAGTGTCCCCCATAGCGCGGTTACTCAGTGAGTGTCACTCATAGCGCGGTTACTCAGTGAGTGTCCCCCATAGCGCGGTTACTCAGTGAGTGTCCTCGGTTACTCAGTGAGTGTCCCCATAAAGCGTTAATTCAGTGAGTGTCCCCATAGCGCCGGGTTACCTGTGCGAGTGTCAACTCATAGCGCCGTTACCTGTGCGAGTGTCCCCATAGCGCCGTTACTCAGTGAGTGTCCCTATAGTGCGTTATCAGTGAGTACCCTATAGCGCTGTTACTCAGTGAGTGTCCCTCTATAGTGCGGTTACCAGTGAGTGTCCCTCATAGCGCGGTTACTCGGTGAGTGTCCCTCATAGCGCGGTTACTCGGTGAGTGTCCCTCATAGCGCGGTTACTCGGTGAGTGTCCCTCATAGCGCGGTTACTCAGTGAGTGTCCCTCATAGCGCGGTTACTCAGCGCGGTTACTCAGTGAGTGTCCCTCATAGCGCGGTTACTCAGTGAGTGTCCCCCATAGCGCGGTTACTCAGTGAGTGTCCCCCATAGTGTGGTTACTCAGTGAGTGTCCCCCATAGCGCGGTTACTCAGTGAGTGTCCCCCATAGTGCGGTTACTCAGTGAGTGTCCCCCATAGCGCGGTTACTCAGTGAGTGTCCCCCATAGCGCGGTTACTCAGTGAGTGTCTCCCATAGCGCGGTTACTCAGTGAGTGTCCCCCATAGTTCGGTTACTCAGTGAGTGTCCCTCATAGCGCGGTTACTCAGTGAGTGTCCCCCATAGCGCGGTTACTCAGTGAGTGTCACCCATAGCGCGGTTACTCAGTGAGTGTCCCTCATAGCGCGGTTACTCAGTGAGTGTCCCCCATAGTGCGGTTACTCAGTGAGTGTTCCTCATAGCGCGGTTACTCAGTGAGTGTCTCCCATAGCGCGGTTACTCAGTGAGTTACTCAGTCTCCCTCATAGCGCGGTTACTCAGTGAGTGTCCCCCATAGAGCGGTTACTCAGTGAGTGTCCCCCATAGTGCGGTTACTCAGTGAGTGTGAGTGTCTCCCATAGTGCGGT